TTAAATTTCTTAAATTATAAAAGTAATAACTAAAAATTAGAATCTAATTTTCAATATAATCAAAATTTTTTTTTCTGCCGTCACATAATTAAGTTTGAAGAAAAATTCAGTCGTCTAAGGCACGCAAACTGGTGTGCTGTGAATGATTACGAAGCTTTGGAGTGACTATGTGATCCATGACATATGAATAAAATTTAAAATTTTAATAAAAGTGGATGTCTTTCTCAAATTTGTCTTCCCCCCTCAAAAAGTCAGAAAGACCTACTGTGATCTATTGCAGATTCCACCATCCTTGAATTATTCTTCCTAAAAATTAACCAACATGTAGACTTTCTAATCATTTACAACACACTAATTTACCTCCCTATTTTTAGCAATTACTAAAATAAATTTTTATATTTTTTCTTAAAATAATTTTTTTCTCAAACTTTTAAGTTAAATGAAATTAATTTTATTCGATTTTTACTAAAATAAAAATGAAAAAATACATATAACTCTTGACTTTTAAAAAATTAAAAATCTTAACTTGTTATTTAATTTAATTAAAATTTAATTTAAAATTTAAAAATTTATTTTATTAAATATAAATATTTATAGTTAAAAATTAATTAAAATTTTAAATTTTAAATTAAAATTTTAATTCCTAAATAAATTGAAACTTCATTTAAAAAAATCAAATTTAATGCATACAAATATCAATAAAAATTAAAAGTTAACAAATAATATAATAAGATATTATCATTTTGTCTCTTTCCTTCAATAACTAATTTTTTAACATAAAAAAATTAAAAGAAATTACATTACAAAAATTTACTATAACAATATTTACAACAATATTTATTTATGAACTAAAATACATCCTATCATTGCAGCTACAGCTACAGGTGCTTTCCTTCAATTACCATTAAGCTACCATTAAGTGGAAATTTTGACCTCCTTTTGTAGATGATATGACATTTTTTTTACAAAGTTGGATGTATTTGCGATAAAAGGGCTGTGATTTCACGTTTTGTCC